ACCCAGGATGCGGCGTCACTGTCTCCAGCCATAGGAAGAGGGAGAACATGTTAACTGTTCTTTCAGCACCCCTCCTTTCAGCACATTGTGTGTTTGCTTTGGAATGGTATCAGTCCCCTGAGCATGAATTAAAGAGTGTGCTTGCTATCTTTGCTGAGTTCGCAGCCTGCACACACATTTCCCAACCACGTGTTGGAACATTGGGCTGGGACTGTGCTCAGGATGGTGTGAACCCCTTTGTTCTTCCCCCCTCTGCTAGCACACCCCCTCCCCTGGCTAACCCAACCCTACAATCCCAGGTTAGGAAATAGCACCCTCGTCTCTTTGTCTAGCTCCCCACTGGGTGCTCAAGGTCCCGAAAAAACAGCCACCTCTGCTTGAATTTGCCCCACCCACCACAGCCTCAGTGACAGGTGCTTCCAAAGCACTTCATTCCTTTTCTTTAAACAGTGAGAAGTTCAAGGTTTTCCCTGTTGTGGAATCAAATACAGATTCACATTCCCAACTCAGTAACTCCCCAACCCAAAGTGTTCAGACATCTAAAAAGATTTGTAATTCTTGGGACAGCAAACCCTGTTCTCCACCAGTGAGAGGATTGATTTATTGCCTTGATTTACTCACCTGACGATTCCCCACAGACAGGTTGCTGTGTTTGCCTGCAGTGCTGCCGCAGGCCCCAGCTGGAATGCCAGGTGCCATCCAGTGCCATGTGCCCTACCACCTTTCCAAACTCTGGAAAGTTATGGAAAGTTTTGAATAAGAAATTGTAAACCTGTATCTGCTTCTCTGATATTTTGGTTTTCTATATTCATTTTACTTTTTTCCAGATGGCCTGTAACTGACCGGAAGAGGTAAGTGAAAGTGTCCTACTATTTGTTGGCTTGTCTGTTTTTCCCCTGAATCTCCTGTAACGTTAGCTTTATGACTGCTGTGTTTTCTTGCTTGGTACATGGGTTTTCTTTCTCATTGTGAATTGCATCTGTGAGCATTGTAGAGAGCCTGTCTCCATTCTCACCTTGTGTGATGTTAACGTTATGACCTGAGCTTGCTTTTCTTTGCTTTTGTTTCATATACCTTTGTACATACTTTTCTTTCCAACCTTTCGGAAAATACTTTGTCTTAGATCATTTGCTTGATTATGCTATGAAGGTTGGCTTTTCCTATGAAAGAATCTAAGTATCTTTTTTCTTTTAATAGACAAGTTAAATCTATTTCAACATTTATTGATAAATCACATATCAGCCTTAGTTCTGTCATAGTAATATTATATTACTTTCTGTTTTAGCATTTTTAAAAAGCTTTCATTATGTTGTCTTTGTTGCTGTAGCTCTCGAATTTCAAAAGGTTTCTATTTTGCATTAGTTGTTACTTTTATAATGAAAGCTTTAAATAATACCTCTAGTGTTCTATTATTTAACAAATGTCTATTGGTCCCTTACTCTGAACAGTAAAAACGTAAGCAGATTTCCTCTTCTTCTCTCAGATTTCCTTCCTCTCCTCTTCTACCCTAACTGGTCAATATCTTTCTTAGAATTAGTCTTTGTATTTCAAAAGTGCTTACGCTATTATTTGGCTTGTTGAGAAATAGGTTTTTTTTTGCCTCCTAGTTATTATAAATGGAATCATCAGTAAAGTTTACCTCTCACCTACTTTCCTCTACCGGTGCTTGCTACTTAAATTGTTTATATACTATCAGGTCACACGGTTTTCATATCCCTCTCAGCCACTCCAATTTTAGCTTTAGTCCATAGTAAATGTATTCAAACCTTGCAGCCAATATTTTGTTTCATAATTTCTCCAATAATCTCTTAGCTGGGGAACATTTGTCCACTGGTAGTTTCCTCAAAAAAGGTTCACAGAAGCAACATTCTCTAAATGCTTTCATGTTCGAGACTATCTGTGGTCTTCATAGTTGAATGGTAGTTTAGCTAGACATAAAACCCGGGGTAACACCTTTTTCCCTGGAACATCATTTAAGTTTGCACCACCAGCTACTGGCACTAGACTTGGCAGTGGAGAACCCTGGTTTCTGTCCCCTGTAAGTGACTTGATTGTTTTGCTTGATTGATCATCCGTGAAGCCTAAAAACTTTGCTAATATGTGTCTATCAGTTGACGGCTCTGGATTAATTTTTTCTGATACATGGTATAAATGAAAGTCTTCTTTATTTCAGAAAATTGTATTCATATTTGATCTGTTCCATTGTTTTGGTTTTCTTCCATGACGGCCCCAATTATGTATCTAATGAATCTTCATTCCTTGTTTTCTATATCTATCATTTTCTCCCTTTTTTTAATTCTTTATTTTCATTCATTTTGCTTGTATTTCTCATCTCTCTCTCTCCCATGCCCCTTCCTATGATTTGCTTAATCTTCTTTTATTTGTGCCCCTTCCATTTCCTCTGTAGCGCTGATGTTGTGCTTCCCCTGAGTCCTGCCAGCCGTGTTTCCTCTCCCCCGTCACCTGGACATCTCTCCTCTGCATCCTTTTCCTCTTCAACTTTCTGTTTTGAAAAATTGCAACCTGACCAACATATTGGAAAAGTAACACAATGAGTATCCATATGCCCTGCACGTAGTTTCACCAGCTATTATCATTTTGCCATATCTGCTTTCCCTCCCTCGGTACACACACACAATACATGAACACACTTCTCCAAACCATTTTAAAATAAATTGCAGACATCAAGACACTTCATGCATTAAGACATCAGCCTGCATCTCCTAAAAGGAGAACACTGTCCTAAATAACCACAGTACTAATTTAATAATTCCGTAAAATCATCTCATGTGTATATTCGAGTTCCCTAGTTACTCCCCAACATGTTTTTAAATGTCTTTTCTCAACCCATTATCCAACTATGCTTTGCATTTGGCTACGTCTCTTTATTCTTTAAACACGGGGCAGACCCCCAACTTTTGTTACACTTACTCATTGAAGAGGACATGCACGTTATTTTGTAAAATGCCCCATATTCTAGATTTGTCTGGTTAGTTCTTTATATTTCATTTGTTTTTCTAACACTTATACTTCCAACAAGCTGCCAATTAGACCTCAAGACTTGGTGAGATCCATGGGAAACCTTTTCGGCTGTATCGACAGCATGTACTCTGCTGCATTCTATCAGGAGGCATAGGATTTCAGGTTGTCTTACTGTTAAGAATTCCAAGTTTGATCACTTGAGTAGGTGGGTCACTGCCAGGTTCTGCCAACGTAAAAGTATATATCTGCCCTCTCTAATGACCAATTAATCGTCACAGGAAACTCCCATTCCCCGGTTACTTTTTCCCTAAAGGATTTAGCATCTATCGATGCTCTTCACCTGCATCAGCTAGTACATTCGGGGCTCCAAAATGGTGATTTTTTAAAATTTTATTTGCATTATATTTCTGTTTTGTGGCCCTCCTTCACAGAAATAATTACTGTGTTCAGGGTTTTTCTTTTCTTTTTTTTTTTTTAACTCAATAGCATAATGTTTGGACACTTTTTATCTGCTCTGTGGCAATGTTTTCCTGGTGAATATTCTTTGATTGTTGGAAACTTTTGCTACTCTTTTCCTCTTCTATTTTATAGTGGATTTAATTTAACGTGTATTACTCATCGAAGGAGCTGGTGATTTTCATGAGGCTCCTACAGAGTGGGCCAGGGTAGCCCACCAGGCCTTCGCCGGCCCTTCTTCAGCCAACCCAGGCTGCTTCCTCCAAGTCCTGCTTACCCACCTGATTCTCTGTGTGGCCTGGGGTGACAGTAGGGAAGGGGGGCGGGGATCCTGTCACCCAACCCTTACCTATGCAGGATCCCAAAGGTCCCTGGGGTCTTGTTGGAATGTACTCATCTTTAGGTATTTCCTCCTACCAAGCCAAAATCTGCCCCACCCCCACCCCGCAGTGGTTCACACCCTGGTCCCTACCCTACCCTGCTCTCTGGAGTCCCACACAAAAAGCTTCATCTCCTCCTTCAGCAAATAGGAAACTAGGAGACCCACCCAGGCCTGGTGGGCTCCACCCCGCCAAGAGGCCAGTGTATTCCTGAGGATTGGTCCCTTGTCCCACCTCTGAAGGTACTGCCCTGTTCAGTTGGGCCACACAGGCGCGCACCCACCACGCACACGAACGCGCACTGCAGCCTGCACCCCCACCCCCACTCCCACCCTGCGCGCTGGTCTCCGTCCGTCTCTGTCCGTCTCTCTCCGATGCTGCTGCTTGCCCGGAGCCCGGCTTCCAGCCTGACGTACACAGGCATAGAACAAAAGTAGAGCTGTCAGGAAACCAGAAAGAAATGCCTGTGCATTTCTGCTTCTTGCTCAGAGTTTCCCAAGCTATGGGGCTCCCCAGGCTGCTGGCCAGGGAGTCTGGACACAAAGCTTTACAGCCAGGCGCCCCTCAGAGCTGCCCTCCCTGAGAGCCCTCCAGCCACCCCTGCAGGCTCTTCCCTCTGGGGGGGGTGTGTTCCTCCCCTGAGACTCCCACCATCCAGGTTTGGGAATAAGACAAGGGTTTCTTCAGCACAGGCAAAAAGGACACAGGTACCTCATCTCCTAGGAAAAAGAGTTGTGGACATGTCCCATCCTAGAGGCCAGTGACACACCTGGCCCCCACCCTGTCCCACGACCCCTTGGGGTATGCCATCTACATCCAGGGAGGAAAGGTGATGTAATGCTTGACTCTTTTCACTCCTGCAGGTTTGGGGGCAGACAACGGAGGTGACTTGCTGGCTTTGGGGAGGGCACCCTCCTAAGTCATCAAGGACTGAGCAGAGGACGAAAAGGGCTGGACCTGGACTGGTGCAGGCTTTGGACCAGGCCCCAGGAACAGAACATCTGGGAGTGCTCGGTGAGGGGCAAAGGAGAGAGATAAGCTGCTTGTTTCAGAAGCAGCAAAGTGGTGAAGGAGTGTGACTGGCACCAAGAAAGGTCTAGGAATTCGGAGGAGACAGGACAGGCCGAGCAGATAAAGCTCTGGACTGTCTCCCCTTTGGGGCCACAGCCAGTTGCATAATCCTTCTATTTGCATTCTGGCCCGGACAGCCTGCCAGAGTAGACCATATCAGACCCGCTCCAGTTCTGTTTGTCCTGAAACTCTGCCCTGGGAGGTGATTGAGGAAGGTGCCCGGTGAGGGCTGAGCAGCGGAGGCAGCCAGGGTGAGCCAGTCTCTTGGCCTTGCGGGAGGATGGAGGCCCTCAATGTATCTGCCCCGTACAACTTCTCCCTGCCGCCCAACTTCGGCAAGCGCCCCACCGACCTGGCGCTGAGCATCATCCTGGTGTTTATGTTGATCCTCATGATGTTCTCGTTGGGCTGCACCATGGAGTTCAGCAAGATCAAGGCTCACTTCTGGAAGCCTAAGGGGCTGGCCATCGCCCTGGTGGCGCAGTATGGTATAATGCCCCTCACTGCCTTTGCCCTGGGAAAGATCTTCCGGCTGAACAACATTGAGGCGCTGGCCATCCTGATCTGTGGCTGTTCCCCCGGGGGACACCTGTCCAACCTCTTCTCTCTGGCTGTGAAAGGCGACATGAACCTCAGGTAGGACTGGGGAGGAGGAGGAAGCAGCTTGGGGACAGGGACCACATTGGAGGTGTCACAATCAAGGGGAAAATCTGGACTAAAAACAGAAGAGGGACTGAGTGGGGACTAGGCAAATGCTAGGGCAGGAGGTGGCAGGCATTATTGTCAAGGGCTTATGCTGGGCTGGGGACAGGAGCTGGGGTACGTCTTGGTTTAAACACCAAGCCTAAGAGACCCAGCTGGTCCAGGGACATCCTGGAGACCACTCGACTTCCAGAGGCATCCCCAGTGGGACATAAGGATTGTCTTAAAGGAGTACTGAATTAAACCAAAGGGACCTCTGGAGAACTTTACCTGCCTACAATGGGGGGCAAGTTGTCTACTTTGAGGCCAGAGATCTGAAAGGGGGTGCAGGTTGGCTCCAGGCACTTTCGTGGAGATCAAGGTGGCTTGGCACCAAATGGGCAACTCCAATTCTTGCATTGCAAGCAGGAATTTCCAAACCTCCTCCTGGCTCTCCAGGCAGATGGGATGTCTTCTCTTAACTTCCCTCATCCTCCCATCAGATGTGGGAACATTTCCGTGTGTAGATCCAAGATCCATGTGCCGGCCAGGTTATGCTGGGCCTTACCTCAGTCACACTTGGGCAGGGCATGGGGACCAGCAGCATCCCCATCACTGGCTGAGGAAACTCACCTGCAGGAGCTCCTGCCTTCATCTAAGCCTCAGTCAAGCTCAGTGCCTCCGGTTGGGTCCTCAGTGGAAATTCTTTTCTATGCCAGGTAAAGCAGGGGATTCAGACAGTCCACATAACCAAGGAAGGCACCCCCTCCTGGTGATGCCAAGTGAGGCCAGGGCCGATTTTTAAATGAAAAAAAAATAAGAGTGATACTTGGGGCTTGCCAGGACCTGCCATCTGAGCGGCTCTGGAGTCTCCACCCATAGGGTTCACCCTCACTGAGGTAGTCGATGGGAAGAAGAGGCTTGACTTGTACGGGCTCCCACAGGAACATATCCAATGTCCAACCACCTCACTGTGAGGAAATTCTTCCCTCTGTCTAATCTCAATCCGTCTTGCTGCAAAGCAAACCCTTGGTCTCGGTGTGGCCCCTGGACAAGGCTCATCGCAATCTCTGCGTCCTGAGAAACCCAGACTATACCTTGATTCTGGTTTAGAAGGGATGCAGGAGTTTGGTGTCCAGGAAGGGGTCCCTGAGGGCTTTTGGATCTGTACAAACAGCCGAGTGGGGTAGGAAAGTGTAAAGGTCAATGGGGGTGTTCTGAAGGGTCAGTGACCAGATGTCCCAGCTTCTTTGGCCAGTGGGTACTAACTAATGAGGTCTGCATTTCTGAGGCCTCTGCCCACGAGGCCTCCAGTGACTCAGGCTTATGACCCCTTATGCTCTCCTGCTCAGCCTCTGTGCCTGGGGCCCTGGAGACTGTCCCTTCTACCCAGACCCAAAAGAGACAATGCTCTGCAGGGACAACACCTTCCACCAGAGGACCCCTGCCCTCAGACAAACCCCCCATGCACCTTAAGCCTTGCAGACCCCACTGCAGAGTGAAAATCTCGTCATCAACCACCACGTGTTACCAGACTGTGTATTCCATTTGAGTTCTTCTAGGACAATTTGTTGTGTGTATTCTAGTTATGAAAATGATACTGACAATAAAGACCAGCCAGCACCGCACCGAGCACTCCACCCAGCATCCTCACACAGTATCCTGTGAGGGGGTGCTGTGTAAGGGCCCATTTAGAGGTGAGGGAACAGAATCCGGGGCTCCGAAGCCTGTGTTTTGCTCAAATACCTTCAGGGTCAGGCACGCACAAAAAATGAACAAAACGACAGGAGGCCGGCCGCCAGCCTCGAGGGCATGGCCCTGTCTCGCCACTCAGGGCAGACGCCGCGGGTGTTCTCCTGGGACGGGTGGGAAGCCACCAGCAGCACAGCTTCCTGCTTTTCCAGAGAAGGTAGAAACTCCCGGTTTATCTGAAATCTCCAAATTCTTAAATATTGGCAACTATTCAAAAGTTGTTAGGATACCATGCAAGCTACACTGGACATGTCAGAGGGCCAGATGTCACAGAAAGGCTACCAGCCCGGGACTGCTCTCAGCACAACGCTATCCTATTCCCATTTAGAGGAGGGTGTTTCACGACAGCGATTCCACCTGACCCTCGAGAAAGCTGAAGTCCAGGGACTTGCCGGAGGTTTCCCAGAATCTGTGGGCACAGGGTGCCAGGAGCCAGGCCTGGGCTCTCTCTGCCCGGTGACGCTGCCTCGCAGCTGGGGCGGCCACGCACACAGGCGCCAGGCACATTCCGGGAGGCTGGGCCACCAGCTGGACCTCGAACGGCAGCCGGGCATGGCAGCTCCTTCCTCACGGATGCCACTTAGACAAGCTCCAAAAAATGCAGGTGACGCAGGCCAGAGAAAATATCCCCAGAGCGGAAGCAAGCTTAGCTTGTCAGGGACAGAGAGTGACAGAGGGAACTGGGCCCCTTTGAATACATTTGATGTCCAAGTTCATCTGCTCCCCCTGAGCCAGCTCACAGCAGGGACCCCAGGGCCACTGGCTGTGGAGCAACAGACTCGGACACAACCCAAGGATTCCCACAGCTCTACCCACCGTGACAAAGGAAACCTAACCCAGAGGAGATGGAAGCCATTTGGGTTTCCAGAGTTTCCACTTCACCACAGAGACCCTGACAGGTCCCCTCGCAGCTCCCTCCGCTTCTGCTTCTATGGACCGGGACTCAAAGCCCGTCCTCAGACACAGCACACAGGGGTCCAGGAGCAGGGTGTGCGCAGTGCTCTGAGAACTGACGCAGGAAGAATGAGTAGAACAGCAAATTTTCTCCTGGCCCCCAGCGCCCTGAGAGGCAACCACATCCACAGTGTTACTACTATGGAATGGGTTCCAACCTCGGAACGAGAGTCTGGACAAGCCACCTCCCATCCCAGCCCTTCAGGGTGAGCTGAGGGTCACTTCAGTCACAGGGTCCAGCAAGTCAGGTGGTGGGCATCCCTGACCAGGGCCCAGCACTTACGAATGTGCAGGAGGTCCCTGAATGCCTACAACCTGGCTTCCACCCACACCCCCTCCGGCGGGCACGAGGAACACCAAGTCCCAGAGCAAATTCCAGAACTGATGTGCCAAGCCAAAGTAAGCATGATTCCTCTGCTCAAGGACATCAAAACAAGCCCACCTGTGTGTGTGGCCTTTCTCCTGAGAAGAGATCGACAGCTCGCACCACGTGCCCCTCCCCAGTCTCAACCCCCTCTTCCCACCCCACAGGGGGCACCTCCCGGAATTTAGCACCTTTATAGTGTAGTTTATACTATTTCTACTGATGTACCAATTCATAAACAAGATACACTGTTAATAGTATTGACACGTTTTTAAATTTCATACACACTATCATAGTGCCCATGTCATTTGACAATTTGCGCTTTTTTTTTTTTTGAGATATAGGCACATAAATAAAATAGCACCTTTGTGCATTAGGATTGGCGCATAGTTTGCTTGTATTTATCTATTCTCGTGTTGTCAGACATTCACATGGCTGACACATTTGACCGGCCTGGTGCGCGTGCCCCTCGCTCACGTGGAAGGGAGAGGCTGGATGACAGAAGCAGGGTGGCTGGGTTGTGCGGTTCACACACCTTCTGCAGACGGTCTCCAGAGCAGTCGTCCTGCTTCCCCCCATTTTCATCCACACGGGGGACTGTCAGACTCTCCATTCGTGCCATCTGGTGATACTAACCTGGGTCACAGCGGCTGCGAATTTAATTTCACGGGAGGTCTAGTGCCTTTTTAAATGTTTACTGGCCACTGGGGTGTCCTCGACTAGAAATGATGTTCTTTGTCTATTATTTTTCCAGTGTTGTGTTCTTTCTTCTTAATTTGTCATTTGCATTGTTTTTTTTCCATGTTGCAACAGTCTATTGACAGTTTGGGGCTTGTCTTCACACTTTGATAATAATGTCTTATTTCACAGAGTACTTATTTTGATTTAACCAAATTTACCAATATTTTTCCTTGACAGTTTGTTTTGGGGGTTCCTTTCAAAAGTCCTCCACTACCTTCAAGGTCATGAAGATATCCCCCTATATTTTCTTTGAAAAGTTTTAAAGTTATGCTTTTCACATGGAGATCTTCAGCTGATCTAGAACTTATTACGTATGCTGTGATTTAGTTTTACCTTTTCTATATGATAGAAAAAATACTCAGGACCACTGAGTGACTTTTTCTGTAGTCGTTTGTAATGCCTCACCCCCACAGACCAGATTCACACGCATGCACTGGTTTCTGTGTGGTACCTCTCTTCCCTTCCATGGGTCTCTGTGGCTCTCCTGGCACTACACCACACTTTCTTAATTACAACTTTATAATCAGCTTTGATATCTGAAAGGTGAGCCCCCCTACCTTGTTCTTGAAAATTACACTAGTTATTCTGGACCTTTTACTATTGCAGTTGAATTTTGGGATTAGCTCTCAAGTCTACAAAAGATGTTTCTGGCATTTTGGTTAAATTTGCATTAAATTTATAGATAAATTTAGAGGCCATCTTTATATAATGTCAAGTCTTCCCATCCATGAAAATGTATAGCTTTTCTTTTACTTAGGCTTTATTTTACACCTTTTTATGAAGTTTTGTCATTCATTCCATAAAAATTTTGCTTACCTCTTTTTGATTCATTTCTAAATATTTTTCCCTGGCTGGCGTAGCTCAGTGGATTGAGCACGGGCTGGGAACTAAAGTGTCCCAGGTTCGATTCCCAGCCAGGGTACATTCCTGGGTTGCAGGCCATAACCCCCAGCAACCACACATTGATTTCTCTCTCTCTCTCTCTCTCTCTCTCTCTCTCTCTCTCTCTCTCTCCCCGCCCCACTCCCTTCCCTCCCTAAAAAAAAATGGATGAATAAAATCTTAAAAAAAAAAATATTTTATAGTTTTGTGACTATTGTAAATGGTACCTTTTTTTAAAATCATATGATAATTTTTTCCCTAT